TCATCATTTACCCAGAATGCTTTGTGTGTAAATGAAATGGCTCCGTCTGTGTTAAAATATATTTTCAAATTTTTAGGTTAAAAATTATAAAAACTAAACAGCCTACAGTATTTTTACAGTCTTTATTTTACAGTTAAAATAAATGATTATTAAATAAAGTCTGATGTTACAACTAATCATGGATCCTTTAAAACATCACAGCCTCTGTAACTGTGTTTTGGATCCTCCAGGTCCGGTCGGACTGGTTCGTGTACGTCGTTCTGTCCTGTCTGCCGTGGGTCGGTAAGGAGCTTTATGAGAAGAAAGACGTGGAGATGGACCGGCTCCTGAGCCAGATCGAAGGCTACCTCAAGTGAGACGTCCATCTATTTGTTGTTCCGTCATTTATCTCCTCACAGAACCCGATCTCACTCACTCCATGCTTTAATGTCGGCCTTGTTTGCAGAGGTCCATAAAGTACCTGAAAAGATAACTAAGTAAAAGTAAAAATACCTTAACAGAAAATGACTTTGGTGAAAATAAATGTCACTGATGAGCAAACTGCTTAAGTAAAAGTCTTAAAATTGTTCACAAAAATTGATAAAATAAAAGTACTTTTCCACGTTCTGTAACAAATAAACTTAAATTAACAGAACCAAACTGGCTCCACAAAACCAAGTTGATTAAATTGGTCAATTTCTTTAAAATAAAATATGTATATCACCTCAAATTTACTCTACTAGGTTTAGTGGAAATAGTTGACATGATATAGGTGAGTAAATTCAACACTTAATTTTTTAGAGCACATAAACAACTCCTTTCATGATGAGTTAGATATAATTTATAACGGGTAACTACCGTATTTATTGAAGTATAATACGTAAAATTAAATCCATAAAATCATCCATAAAGTTGGGGGGTAGTATTATGCTCGGATAAATATTTTTACTTATGTACTTTAACTGAAATATCGGCTTCATTCGCAAAATGCCCAAGTCCGGAAATGAGACCGCGTCGTAAAAAGCAGTTGAAACGAGCTCACCTCTGACACTCTTTCATTCTTTAGAGTGAGATAATAACAGATCCAGGCAGGTGACATGATGTGAAAAAAGTGGGGGGTGAGTATTCCTACACCTTAGTAATGATAACAAACTAATGACATTAGCGTGTGACCGAGCCGCTCCTCAAACAACAACAAACACATGTTCGTCTGTAATGGCTGCCGTCTACCGATGTTCTGAAAACGTTTGTATCCCTGAAAAAAGTTTCCCCACCAGAGGGGGCGCTCGCGAGTAGGAAGTAATCTGCTTTTCCCTCACAAGATGGTCCAAATCTCATGTGAAGTCTCTGACTTTTGTGTTGGTGCCTCCTGGTGGACTATGTGTAAAATGCCAGAATTCATGTGATGCTGCTACAGCTGATATGTTGTTAAAATAAAATGAACAGTCCAATGATCATTTTACTGATATGTATAAAGACTGCAAAGGCTGAAAAATCTTGAAGTCTGKATGAAATTGGAGGTAGTTTRAGGATTAAATTTTTTAATGCTTTTTAAGCTCAAAAAGGGGGGGGGGGGGTTGTATTATACATAAATAAATACGGTTGGTGTTAAACTTTAAAGTAAAGAAGTAAAAGTATCATTTTTAGGTTTTAAAAGTAACTAAGTAAAAGTCACGATTTAATAAAATACTTGGTAAAATTACAAATCCTCAAAGAAATGACGTAAGTACTGTAACAAAGTAAATGTACTGAGTTACTATAAACCTCTGATGTTTGTCAGGAGGAGAGTGAAGACTCATGTCCCCATGCTGCAGGTGTGGACCGCCGAGAAGCCCCACCCACAGGAAGAGGTCAGCCTTTAAAWGTCTTGTTCTGTTTGATTCTTTGATGTTCAGTTAAAACGACCCGCTCTGTGGGTTTCAGTACCTGGACTGCCTCTGGGCTCAGATCCAGAAGCTGAAGAAGGAYCGCTGGCAGGAGCGCCACATCTTGCGGCCGTACATCGCCTTCGACAGCGTGCTCTGYGAGGCCCTGCAGCACAACCTGCCCCCCTTCACCCCGCCGGGCCACATGCCCGACGCCCAGTACCCTGTGCCCCGGGTCGTCTTCCGGATGTTCGACTACACCGACGCCCCGGAGGTTCGATCCGCTCGCGGTCGATTCGTCGAAACGATCAGCTCGGAGAGAGAGAAACCGCCTTGTTGTTGTGTGTGTGTGTCCGCAGGGACCCGTCATGCCCGGCAGCCATTCTGTGGAGAGGTTCGTCATCGAAGAGAACCTGCAGTGCATCATCAAGACTCACTGGAAGGAGAGGAAAACCTGGTGAGCTGTGAACACCTGAGAGAACCGTCCCGTCTTTACACCTGTTTGATTTATTCATTTTTTCTTCCAGCGCTGCGCAGTTACTTAGTTATCCAGGGAAAAACAAGATCCCGCTCAACTATCACATCGTGGAGGTCTGCTGCRTTTTCTTTTTGTCTCTTTCATTTGAGCTGAGAGATTTAATGAAACCAGTTTTCTCTCCTTTCAGGTGATCTTTGGAGAACTGTTCCAGCTGCCCGTGCCGCCGCACATCGACGTGATGTACACCACGCTGCTGATAGAGCTCTGCAAGCTGCAGCCGGGCTCGCTGCCCCAAGTTGTATCCTGGATTTTAGAGTTCTGCTTTTTTAACGTCGATGCAGGTCAGAGAGAGAGAAAACTGCTGTTTATAAGCTTTAAATTCCAAATGAGCAACAAGCTAGCTTCATGCTAAGAGTAGCTACATTCAAGCTCGAAGCTAAATGTAGAAAAACTAAGAATTAAATCTGTATGTTACACTATTATAGCTAAAAGCTAAATCTAGCAACAGGCTAGTTTAACGATAAAAGTAGCTAAATTCACGCTAAAAGCCAAATGTAGAAAAACTAAGAATTAAATCTACCCTACATTATAGCTAAAAGCTCAATGTAGCAACAGGCTAGCTTAAAGTTTAAAGTAGCAGTACTTTAGTTAAAATCTAAATGTGTTAACAAGCTGGGGAAGAGATTAAAGTACCAAAACGCTAGCTAAACACTAGAGCTAGCCACTGGTTAGCTGAAAGTGGATAAATTCTAACTAAAATCCAAATTTCGCAAACAATCTAGTTATAAGCTAAACCTAGCAGACTAGTTTCAAGTTAAAAGTAGCTAAATTCTATTTAAAAGCTAAATATAGTAACGGTCTAACAGCAAAATTTTGCAACAAGCTAGCTTAAACTTTAAAGTCGCAAAATTCTAGCTAAAAGCTAAATGTAGAAACAAGATAGCTAACAGCAAAATATTGCAACATGCGACCTAAAACTATAAGCTAAAAGTTGCAAAAATTAAGCTAAAATTAAAATGTAGAAAAACACTGGCTTAAAGATATGTTGCAGCATTCTACTTAATCTAGTAACATGCTAGCTTAAAGCTAAAAGTAGCTCAACTTGAATGAATGTATTAACAAGCTGGGTAAAAGAATAAAGTACCAAAACGATAGCTAAAAATAGCAGAAGGCTACTTTAAAAGTAAAAGTGTCAATTGGATTGCTGAAAGTGGCTAAATGCTAGCTATAAGCTAAATCCAGCAAAAGACCAATTTCAAGCTAAAAGTAGCTGAATTCTAGTGAAAAGCTAAATATGGCAAGAATCTAATGCAAATCTAGCAACATGCTAGCTTAAAGGCAAACGTAGCTGAACCTTTTTTATAGTATTTATTCATTTCATTTTAAAAAACAAAACAAAATACAAATCAAATAAAATGAAAGGCGGCAGCAGAAAATAAATCTTATATCTGCTCCTGTTTACTAAAAAATTATATAAATTTCAAACAATAAACCAAATAATAAAACAAAACAAAAAATTGAACTCCTCAAACAATAACTCATACAAATTAAACAATTTCATATTTCTTTAACAATTTTGCTTTGATCATTTTTTTAAAGAAATTAATTGATCCAATGCTTTTATAATCATTTTCCAGATTATTCCACAGTCTTATACCTTTTACTGAAGTGCATCTGTCCTTCAAATTTGTTTGAATTTTGGTTTAACAAACATTTGTAATCCCTTCAAATTATAGCAGCTTTTAACAAAATGAGATGGATGTTTGAAGGAAACACATTTTTATGAGCTCTATACATAACCTGCAGAACGTTACAATCAACCAGCTCATCAAATTTTAATATTTTTAACTGATGAAACAATATATTAGATGGATGATAGTCATGTAATAATTCTTATGGCTCTTTTTTGTAAAACAAAAATAGGGTTAGTAATTGTTTTACATGCATTTCCTCAGACTTCTATACAATAAATCAAATGTGGAACAATTATTGCGTTATTTAGTATAAATAGTGCTTTATCATTAAATAACTCCATAACTTTAGTTAAAATATGTGGTAACAGGCTGGGTAAAAGATTAAAATACCAAAACAATAGTTAAGCCTAGCAATAATAACAAATGTAGCCAAAGGTTGACAAGTAGCAAGCTCAGCTAAAAGTAGCAAAGACTAAGGTTAGCCAAAAAGCACAGCTAGCTAAAAATAGCAGAAGATAACTAGAAGTAGCGTAAGGAGACAGAAACAGCGAGCAGCTGAAGCAGATTCCAGACAGAGCTGCATTTTTATCAACCTCGGTGTGTTTATGAGAAAAAGATTTTAAAGTTAATTTTTCTGATGGGTACAAAAAGTGCAGAACGAGCCGAAGGTTTTAATAAAAGAACGGCTGAAGTGAAGTGGCTTGCAGGAATGTTTCAAATAAACTGATGTGTTTGAGCGTTTTCACCTCAGCGTGTTTTTATCAGCTGGCTCAGGCCACAGAGATGCTCTACATGAGACTGGACACCATGAACACCTCCTGCATAGACAGGTGAGCCCTCCACTCGTTTCATTGGTTAAYAACCCGACAAACGTGGCTACAGAACCGCCTCTCTGCTCTGCTTCAGATTCATCAACTGGTTTTCTCATCATCTGAGCAACTTCCAGTTCCGGTGGAGCTGGGACGACTGGTGGGTGACCTCTGCGTAGACGCGCTTCGTTTGATACGTTTATTTATTTCTAAGATGTGAAACTTGTTTGGGTCGAAGGTCCGACTGTTTGGCCCTGGATCTGGAGATGCCCAAGCCCAAGTTCGTCAAAGAAGTTCTGGAGAAAAGTATGAGGTGTGGAAAGAGAAGCTGTTCTCTCTGTTTGAGGCGATCACCGGAGCCGAGGAGTTAAAATCTTGTCCCGTCCCTCTCAGGCTCTCGTACCATCAGAGGATCGTGGACATCGTCCCGCCAACGTTCTCCGCCCTCATCCCGGCCGAACCCATCTTTACGTTTAAATACGAAGACGAGAGCGCTGGTGAGGAAGCTCCCCGAACCTTTAAACTCTTCAGGGTGTTTTTTAAAATCTAAATAAAATAAATTCTGCTTCCTCAGCTTCGTTACCGGGGTATCCGGTTTCCATCATGGTCGCGAACGCCATCAAGAACCGAGCGTCCAACGAGGAAATCCTCACCGCCCTGAAGGAAGTCCCGAACCCAAACCAGGAAGACGACGACGGTTTGTTCCCAGAGTTTACTCCACAGTGGAGCCCGTTCCTGTTCCTCTGTGGTTTTAAATGATTCCTCTTTGTCCAAAGATTAGTTTTTAATCCCTCGTCTTGTTTGAATGAATGAAACAAAGTTTATTATTAATAGAAACATCTGAATTTGAGACGTTTCTCTTCTTCAGGACAAATAAATGAGTTATTAACAGACTTCTGCAGAACTCAGAGCAGAGAAATTTCTCACTGCCCGAGAAGGAAAAAGCTTTGTTTAAAATTTATAAAAACTTAAATTCCAAACAGGCTAGCTTCAAGCTAAAAGTAGCTAAATTCAAGCTAAAAGCTAAATGTAGAAAAACACAGAATTAAAGCTGTATATTGCAGCATTATAGCTAAAAGTTAAATCTTAGCAACAGGCTAGTTTAACATTAAATATGGCTAAATTATTTCTAAAAATCAAATCTAGCAACAGGTTAGCTTAACACTAAATATAGCTAAATTCTTGCTAAAAGTTAAATCTTAGCAACAGGCTAGCTTAACACCAAATATGGCTAAATTCTTGCTAAAAGTTAAATCTAGCATCAGGCTAGCTTAACTAAATCTAGCAACAGGCTAGTTTAACATTAAATATGGCTAAATTCTCGCTAAAAGTTAAATCTAGCATCAGGCTAGCTTAACTAAATCTAGCAACAGGCTAGTTTAACATTAAATATGGCTAAATTCTCGCTAAAATTTAAATCTAGCAACAGGCTAGCTTAACACTAAACATGGCTAAATTATTTCAAAAAATCAAATCTAGCAACAGGTTAGCTTAACACTAAATATAGTTAAATTCTTGCTAAAAGTTAAATCTTAGTAACAGGC